TTGTAATATATACGAGAAAAGCCCTCCTGTTATTTATTTATTTATTGTCATGGCGGCTTGGAATCCAACGAACGATAACTCTGTCAGACTCAGGCTAGAATTGATAAAGATAATGATTAATTACCGTTTTTGACTGCATATGAGACGCACTTTTTTTTTTTACTAAATATATCTTTTAAAATTTCCCTATGTCTTATATGCCATACGTAGGTTTAAAATTCGCGATAGTCGGCCGAAATTAGTTACATGGCAACTCCTATTAGCTTACACTTTAGAGTAACTTTTATATACCTATTGTCATTATTTAAAAAGGTTATTATGCAGATTAAAATTGTTATTGATAATATTCATTATATTAATTTCATCACTTTTAATATTAGTACTTTGTTTCACTAAAATTATATGCAATAAATTCAAATTATATATTTGTAAAATATATTTGTTTCATTAATGATTTTTCTTGCGATAACTTTCGGTTACATTGGTATAAATAAAATCGGAATATTTATATCCTAATTATTCCACTAAGACATTTACAAGATGGCAGGTTGTACAGATCATATAAAGGAAAATATTTGACTGAATTTTAATGGTAACTGTACTGTTTTGCTCAATTGCAATAATTGCTTGATTTTTATTGTTTTTTTACCTTTGGATATAATAAAGTTTTTATAGGCTCGTGTTCTTTTTTCCCTATTATTTTTCGTTTAATTGTCATCATGGCTTGTTTAACCAAAATAATACCTCATAAATATAGCCTAGGCTTTACCATTCACTAATAATTTTATTAATTTTACTAATTACTAATTTTTTCTTGATTTGTCCTGCTGAAATTGGGGTGCGTCTTATACACCCGTGCGTCTTATATGCCGTCAAATACGATGATTGTATAATTCTACTTCTTCTTCTTCTATGTACCGTGTCGGTCGCTTCACGATATTGGCGGTCATGGTTCTCCACAACTGCGCCCGATGTTAAGTATAAGTGTTTTTTTGGTTTTTTGCCATTGTCTCTAGAACTTCATCGTTGCTCACATGTTCTGTCCATGATATTCTCAGTATCCTTCTGAAGAACCATTATTACTTCAAGCCTCTTCTTCCCCAGGGAAGAGATTCTCCAGCATTCACAAGAGGACTGATATTATATAGCAGTTCAATACACTTTTATAATAGTATTTTTTTTAAAGCTTTTCACCCCAAGCAAAGCGAGAAGCCACTAGGACGCAAGGGGTTACAGAAGATTTGGAGCAAGATCAGATAGGAGTGATAGAGGAAAGGATGAGGAGAAGAATAGTGAATAGATCAAGACAACTGGAGATGTCGATTGACATTACATTTGAATAGTTGGAGATTATAGCTCTCAGGGAAACAGGTGTAGGGAAGGTAGTTCCACAGGCGAGAGGTGCGAGACATGAAGCTATTGGAGTAGAAGAGACGGCTACATTTAGTAGTTTCGACAGTGAAAGGGTGAGAGCGGGATGCCAGCCTCGTAGGGCGCTTGAACTCATGAAGTCTGGGAACCAGCGAATGCAGCTCCTCGGAAGCAATTGCCATGAAAGTATTTGTAAAAAAGACAGAGAGAGGCGACGGCGCGTCTGTGAGAGAGCGACTGTAGACGAGATGCCAGATCAGGGCTAATTATATTGCATATCCGCGTCTGGAGCTTATCAAGAACCCCGAGGCAAACAGAAGGGGTTCCAGACCATATATGGCAGCAATACTCCATGCAAGGGCGAATTGTTGATTTGTAGATCTGATGGATCGATTCCGGGGAGAAATATTTCCTGGCGCGGCACAGGGATTTAGCGGCATATCAACTCCTTATGGGTCATTTAATGCGGAAAATGAATTTTCTTGGGAGCATTAACAATTTCATTTACAAAAATGTATTGCTGGTCTTTTATTTACTAAGAAAATGTATTTTTATACTTTTATAGAATTTTGACCCCAGTTTGTGGGGGGGGGTCACTATTTTCCCATAGCTGGGACCCTAATAGGTGCTACCACCCCAGGTCAGGGTGGATCTGGAAACAACAGTAATTAAACGGTGGTTTCACGCTCCACAAAACCTCCAGATCAGATGCCTTGCTGCCAGATGTAGTTTATCGTCATACCCAGGACGACTTTTATCATTACTACTGTTATTTATCTAATAATAGCAATATGAGTTTAGGCAAATCAATCCTAGATATCTTAAATTTCATCCACGGTTGAGCCAAATAATTGCTAGAAATTATGAAATCATTATGCGTAATTATGAAACCATTTATTTATTTACCCCAATATATAAAGTATAGGTGTGTACTCGCTCGGAACCTCGAAAAATAATCTAATATACATAAAGTTATTCGTATGTTCCTGTGTGTGAGCACGAAAATCTTACTTACTATGAAACGCAGATTGTGTGTGTGTGTGTGTGTCTGTACGTTTATATATTGGATCGGATTTCCTACACTTTTCAACCGATTTCAACAAAACTTCACAGGACTACGTAAAATTACCTTGCGGTGGTTCTGACATCGCCAAAAATTGGAAAAACACAATTGTTTTGGCACGAAATCAATTTGAAAACACGATTAAGAGGCATTAATGAAAGGGGGACAACTCATATTGAGTTATACTTCACTTTCGTTTAGCAGGTAGTGTTTCTTATTGTCTTGCACACTTTTTTTCTTTATTTTTACATTCAGAATGCTTTAAAAATTCCATTTACAAGACAATTGTTTATAATAAAATTCTATTCAAGCAGTAGACTCATAACGATTGAAAACAATGTTTTTGTTTGAGTTTGGGTTTGACCAATTCGTAAAAAAATACAAAAAAAAAAAAAAACTAATTAAGACATGCGTGTCCGTCAACCTTATACAATAATCTTTGTCAAATTTATTTTTCAGTCTTTATGATGGTCGATACTTGATCTATCTCTTACTGTTACATCCCCGGGCAACGCCGGGCTCTACTGCTAGTATTAAATAAAACTGATGCACCAAATAAAGGTGAGATAATCATTTATATCTACCAGTATGTGTTTTACACTTTGCCCTACACTGAAAATATCGCTTTTTCGACATAACTATCGTATTTAGTCGCGTACGCGTAATATGCAACTTTTGAAGATATAATTTTGAAGCTAATTTGACTACAGCAAATGGATATATAGTTTGGTTAGCGGCGTAGCCGGGGGCCAGCTGATTTTATACGTCGTGTATGATGCGACCCTCTTAAAATTAGCTTCAAAATTAGGTCTTCAAATGTCGGTAATCTGCATATTCATCATCAGAAATTAAATCAATAAAAAAAAAAACGTTTTGTTATTAACCCTTTGAACCGTGCGTTCCTGAACAATTTTAACCCTTCTGCCTGAGCTCCTGAGTCAAAATTCGCAAATAATTCGTATGTAATTTTTCACGGTAGGTATAAAAAAAAGTTACAAGTGTTTACCCACCGTTCAACCGGTAGCTGGGCATTACGTTATTTTTCTCTGCCACCGGTAAAGCGGTGGTCGGGGCTCAAAGGGTTAATGTTCGAACTGGTATTTTGCAATATTTATAAGTAAGTTAGTTTCTCTCATGTCCCTATCGAATATTGGCCTCCTTTTAACGCCGCACCCGAGGACGGGGTAATAAAATATGTTTCATTAAGACGGTTTATATATAAGGGTTTTTTCATTAAGACGGATCAAAGTCAGCAATAAATAAATCAATGTTATTGGTGAAAATTTATTTCTCTGTTGGATCATGTTATTTAAGTCATGTCAATTATGTGTGAAAAATAATATCGCCTAAATGTCCGTCAAGTCTTCTGCGACACACCTTCACTCGATAGTCAAAATTTTTGATGACGTCTCTGCATAGTTGCTCCTCACCAATATGCCTTATTATCTCATCCTTCAGCTGTTGAATTGTTGTTGGCTTGTTGGTATACATCTTACTTTTGAGATGACCTCAAAAGAAGAAATCTAAAGGCGTCAAGCGGCATGATCGTTGTGGCCAATTGACTTAGCTGTTTCGAGACATGATGCGGCCTGGGAACTTCTCATTGCATTTCTGTTTGAACGTCCATTTTCGTAATAGGCTTCGATAACTTTAACACCTTGTTTGATTGTTAATCTTTCCATGGTTGAAATTGCCAAAGATTTAAGTTGTTAAATCTGAAAGTAAAAGAAAAAAATCATTAGACGTTTAAACTTAATTCTCATTTAAAATCGGTCCAAGTTATTGGAATGGACTTCAGTAGCAGCTTCAATGTATACATACACACTTTTCTTCTTCTAGACTGGTTGCCACCCAAGAAACCAGTCTGTTCTGCTATGTTACCTATAGCTGGTGGGTGGGAGAAGAAGTGATGGATTCATACTTTTCCCAAGAATATTACCACGTAAGCGAGTGTAATGAATTCGACTGGAATTCGAACTCGTCTCTCCGATTATTCAGTCCTAGTCGCCATTACACCACCGGGCCTCCTCTATAAGTAAACAGGTAGCAAGTTAAATAGGCTGGTCCGCTCACAAAAAAAAGGAAAATTAGAAAAAAAAAATGTTTTTTTTTACAGATTTTTCTACCCATTACAAGGCCCAAGAACCAATCAAGGTAGAGGTTTATTCTGTGATGTTATATTAGCGGAAATAATGGGTAAGAAGTGAAGTTCTTGGAGGCTATGCAGGAAAGATAAGAGCTGACGCTACACTTGAAGAGGTCAAGATTTAATTAGGGAATAATATTTCAGAGTTCATTCGGAGAAATCCAGTCCTAAACAGGAAACAAAGGATAAACCTCTACCCCCGTTCAAAAGACCGGAGAGGAGGGTAAACCCGACGATAGACAAACCGATCTGTATAGCTTAGCATTCTTGAGTCTTTATATAGGCCACGATATTTGTCGGAATCGAAAAAATATTGAAAGCTATAGATTTAGAATAGCGGCACAGTGTAAAACCGATTTATTAAACAAGTGCCGATATCTCTTTGTTTACAAGGCAATATATTAACCCTCGTGCTTGCAA